GGAGTGATCGGCCCAGACATCCCAAAGGTCGCGGTGATGCGTCGGAGCGAGCGGCCCAAGGCTATTTTTAGCTGCTGCCGCAGCAGAGTGGCGGTGTACCCCCGCATCACTGGCGCCCTCGCAAATAACTTCTTCGTTCCTTTAAAAATGAGGTATCCCACCCATTCCACAATGTAAACCCGGATCATGATACACCCCTGTTGGCGTCATTTATTCAAACATACGACTTCGCCTTGCTGGATGGTCGGTCGCCGGATTGCACCTACCTCCAGATCCTCACGGAATTCAGCAGGATCATCTATCACATGGACAGATTGTGGGGAGCCGGAGATTCGCGGCCCGATCATACACCGGCAAGCTGGCGTTCAAAACTCCACTGGAGCCTACTGGAGCACTATGTTCGCCTCCATTGAGTGGATGCCAGAAGTGTCCAATGTCACTCCACTGGATAAGTTGGGACCATTGGTGCGTAGTTTCATTCCATCCCATCGTAGTCCAGTGCTCGGCGTCAAACATGGACGTTTGGTGTCGCATCTACGCCAGTAAACAGGTGATGGGATTCGAGGGCCGGAAGATCCCGCGAGATCACATGCCGATGATCCGATTCTAATCCCGATACTACCCGACCCGCCCCATTCTTGCATAGTTATTAATTAATTCTTGGTGCGACGACGTTACATACATGATTATCCATTACAAGTTCAAGTAAAAACGCTGCAGCCAGTAAAGTAACACATTGCGTCCGGGTCTCGGTACAGTACTCATCCCCTCCCTCCCTCCTCTCCTCCCATAGCCTCAGAGTCTCCACCGCACGCTCACGCGGTCAACGGCACCGGCACCCAACCGCGACGCACCTCCTTCCGCGCGTGCAGCCACGCAAGGCTCAGCGCACGCGCGCGCATCCACACGTCGTCCCCGCCGTACGCGTCGCCAGTGTACGCTCGCCCACACTCCGCCTCCTCCGCGTCGGTGGCGTGCCCGTGCCCGTGCCCATGCGTGGCGCCCGAGCATTCCGACTGCGCGCGCCCATGCGTGAGTCGGAGTCCGTGCGCGTGCCCATGCGACGACGCATACTCCGAGCGCGAGCGCCCGTGCCCGTGTCCGTGCGACGACGCATAGTCCGACGCCGCGTACGTGTATCTTACCCCGGCGATCGTATACCCCTCCTCGCTATCGCTCCCCTCGTCGTCCCCCTCGGACCCCGCGTATACATACGGGGCCGCGCCAAACGACGACGCCTCCGATCCCGACGAGCCCTTCTTCAGCCGCATCTCGCACGCCTTGGAAGAGAACGACAGCGAGTCCGACGACGCCAACGACGACAGCGTGCGCTTCTCTTCTTCTCCTTGTTCTGCTTGTTCGTGTTCTTGTTCGTGTTCGTGTTCCAGTCCTTCTCCCTGCTCCTCCTCCTCCGACACGAGCGACGCAGACGACCCCACCGCCACCAGCGCCCACGGCCGCGACGACGACGCCGACAGCGTCGCCGGCAGCGTCGGCTCCCGCTTGCACTCCGCGTTCCTCGGCGCCCACGTCCCGTACCCATGCCGCCCCTCCCACATCGCCCCCGCCTTCCCCTCCCAAATAGCACCCGCCTTCCCCTCCCAAATTGCGCCCGCCCGCCCCGGCGTCGACACCGACCGCGGGATACCCGCCTCCCTCACGGGGCTCATCCCCCCCGCCCCCTTGGCACCGGCAGCAAGCGCGCGCCCCCCACGCGGCCCCGCAAAGCGCGTGAACATCGAGCGCGGGAGGGCCGCCGACGCCGATTCCGAGCGCGAGAGGGCGCTCACATTCATGGTCATCGTGCTCCTCGTGCCCGGGTGAGGAAGCGCGACAGGCGCGCGCGGCCGCCAGCACGCGCACGACGTCCGCGTGCCCGCGCGTCGTCTGCATGCGGTGCGCATACGTGCAGCGCAGCTGCCTTGTCGACCACCTTCATTGTCCTTGCCTTTTCCTTACCTTTCAACCCTACTCGAACTACCCTCTCGTAATTATGGTTATCTTCCTACGGTTCAAAGGATATTATGGTGTAATCTATCTGACACTCACTTCGCTCAATGTCTCGAGCGCATGCAGTCGGCTGTCGCACCAGCTATTATCTAGCTCAACTTGACCTAATAACTTAATTTTTTCGCACCGGATATCTCGACGGATATCGACTTTAGGCTCGGTCATAACGGTATACATTTGCACGTTGAAACCGATCAGATCTTTCCCACAGTTCAACCGAGCTTTCACACACCAGGACGCGACCATCGCGGCGCCCACAGATGCGTATCTGCGTGGAAGGAAATGAATGACGCTGTGAGGCTACTAACCTGTAGCTCGAAGTGATGCATCCCAAATCCATTGCAAGACCAGTTACAGAAAATATCCAGCAAGCTCCTTATATTCCGGAACGACTGTGGTATAGATCTTCACACAAGCCTCCACGAATCGCTCGACTGATAAATCTATATTTTCAAAAATCTTCATCAGCCCGTTGTTCGTTCGAATTGAGGTTTCTGCAAGTGAAAATCAGCCTGGCTTATATGAAGCTGGTATATTACACGAACCAAGTATCAACCCTGGGGACGACGGCTCTAAATCTGTGTCCCGCGTCACTGGTTCATTACCGGCGACTAGTTTACCTTCATTGTGCTGAGAACCCTCATTGCAAAAGGGTTGCGCACTATCCACAGGGCTTGTTTGTGTCGCGCATTGAGGCTTGCTCGGATCTGAGTAGATAGGTCAGAAACACTTCAAATTTCATCGGCTGGATTACCTTCAGACTCTGAGCCCTCAGTTGCCGGAATGATTTCATCCGTGCCTTCTGGCTTTCTCGACTCTGTGTCAATGTAAATGGGTCAGTGGGATACAGTTGTTTTGCGGCTACATTACCTTCAGTCTCCTGAGAATCCGCAGTGACACACTCCGCAGTAGGCACTATTGTTTCATCTGTGCCTTCAGGCTTGCTCGAGTCTTTCCGAGCAAATGGGTCAGGGAATGCCAACTTCGACCATGTAGATTACCTTCAATGCTCCGCAGACGAATATTAGTCAACTCCATTATCCGGTTCAGGTTATCCGAGAAGGTTTTCAGGTGCTCGCTGAATGACCCATCCGCGGAGTCCGCGTCCGAACTTTCATCCATCCCTATGATCTGTTTGAAATTCTGGATGTATTTTGAATGGGTCTGTTTCAAGGCATCCTCGACCTCTTCGATCGAAGAATACGAGTCGAATAAGAGAGCACTTGACGGCAATGACTGTGGTGAGCAGATGCGATCCTTCCATGGAGGCTAGCAGACGTACCCTAAGAGCCCATCTCTGATGTTATTGAAAAGAGGCAACTCTTCAGGTTGGATGTGATATTCGCGCCAAGTGGTTTCGATTGCTTGGGGTTCCATTTCGTGTGATGGAAAACCTCTCGCGCAGCACACTACTTATACGGCGAAGAACAATTGCAATAACCCAAAATAAATCTCTTGTGCTCATAGAACAAAGGTGGCCACAGTACTTGATCCCAAGAAGAAAGTATCGGCATGAAAGAATTGTGGCCACACTACGGCTATCAGAATCAGCCGGATCCTTCCCACGGTTCAAACGGGGCATCGCACACTGATAGTGTGGCCACCATTGGTCTCGCCCACAGAATGGCATAACAATTGAGTTGGATGGTCAGCACGGTTCAAGGTTCCATTTTTAGGAACGCACAGCCATTGTAACAAACGAGATCCTGACAGATCTTATCCGCTTCAATTCACCGTCGATCCAGCCTTGTTCATATTCAGCTTGTCTGGATGTGTTATTTGTGTGCCTCCATCTCGATCCGCCGGAACCAGCTGAAATCTCTGTGGAGTACATCGAGATCTCGAAGCCATCGTACATTCGTACTTGATCGACATAGGAAATAACAAGAACCACCCGGTAGCATATGGTGTGCATTTGCATGACTTGCGATGGTCGGAAGGCGTAAGCAGAAGACCCGGGGTCAGGTGATCCTCTTTCTTCCCTTTTCCTCTATTAGCCTGTTTGCGCTGCAGCCATCAGAGCCAACAGATGGCATTTTTGCAGTGCGCAAACAGATGGTTAATGGCTGAGTCCACCAATTAAATGAATGTATCCTCTGAGTCAGGGAGACATCTATGCCAGTCAATAATAATGTCTGCCTCAACGAAGGCCATAGCAACACACTCTGCCCATTTAAATTCCCCGGAATACCAAATCTGGCGCCTAATTTGGTGTCGTGACAGGGAATACCCCCGAATGAGCCCCTCAGTTATGTATTGTCCCTGTGGGCCCCCAAGCAGCATAAGCATGTCCAAATTAATCTCAGTTCTCAGAGCCATCCGAGCCATGAGCCATCAATTTGCGCACTGCAAAAATGCCAACTGATGGCTTGGATGGCTGCTGCGCAAACTCTCTATTTCATTCGCAAGTTCAATTTTTGTCTATATAATTACCAAGTGGGAGGGATAGAAAACACCCGGTAGTACATGGTGTGCATCTGCTAAAAATGCCCGAAGGAGGTCCATCAGAATTTAGCAGAAGGGTCCTCGTTCGATTCGGGATCGGGTGATGGGGGCAGAGTGAATTCTTTTTCTCGTTTCTTTCTGATGTTACATAATTTCCATATATAACTAACAAGCGGGGAGAGTTAGCAAACACCCGGTAGCACAAGGTATGCATCTGTTGGATCTAATTGTGGAGCCTAATCATTGTAAGCAGAAGATCCCCGTTCGATTCGGGGTCGGGTGATGGATCACCTTTTCTTTTTACTTGCTATTTCTCGTTCGGAAGTTCAACTTTTACCTATATAATTAAGAGGTCGGAAAGGATAGAAAACACCCGGTAGCACATGGTGTGCATCTGCTAAAAATGCCAGAATGGGTCTATGAGAATTTAGCAGAAGGTCCTCGTTCGATTCGGGGTCGGGTGACTTGCTCCTCAATATCCTTTTATCGTTCGCGGGTTTGATTTTTTTTAGCTATATAATGAATAAGTGGGAGGACAGAGGAACCACCTGATAGCATAAGGTGTGCATCTGCTGGACTTGAGGAGGAATCTGCAGGTTGTAAGCAGAAGGTCCCTGTTCGATTCGGGGTCGGGTGATTATCCTCAATCTTGATTCTTTTTCTGGTTTTTTCTATTTAGTCTACTTGCCTACATACATATATAAGCAACGAGTGGGGAGGGATAAGAACCACTCGATAGCACGAGGTGTGCATCTGCGCGGTTTGCGTGGTGATGTAACTTATAAGCAGAGGGTCCCCGTTCGATTCGGGGTCGGTTGATATGATTGTGCGAAACAGGTTTTTCTCGTTCGCCCTCCTTCCCCCTTCTGCCCTTTTTATTTTGTCATTCCGGGACGTCTGGATAACGCCGGGCAGGGGGGGCTTTTGCGTAGAGGGAGAACTTGGAAGGCAGGGTAGAGGGGTTTATTGTATTTTTATTTTTAGGAAAGGCGCGGAAAGTACGAACATGAGTAACAATACGAGGAGGGCGGGAGGGGAATACGGATAGATGGAAAATGAATGTAATTAAGAGCGGGATGCGCGCGCGCGAGATGCGAGAAGCGAGGGGTTAAATTGAGTGATTGAGGGGGAAATATGAGTATGGGAACCCGAGGGTGAGTGTGATTAGAGAGTAGGCGGGTGATGGGGAAGAAGGGGACGTGTAATGAATTATAATGAAGTGTTTTAGCTATGGCTACCGGGGTGGGCATATGAGTAGGAAGTAGGTGTCGATATGAATCAGGAAAGACGCTGAGGTGGGGATAAATAGCGCGTGTCGGGGTTGCGGGCAAGCGGGGAGGTGAGCGCTAGCGTGAATTTGAAGTGGTGGCTGGGAGATTGAGATTCATTGCGCGGGATCCCGCAGTGATAGGTATGGAGGAGAATTAATAGAGAGGCGGTGAGCCGGTTACGCCGAGATGTGTATCAGGTCAGGCAGGACCGTGAAGACATATACCGGCAAGGAAGTGAGATGGATGAGGGCTGCAGTTTCCCAGCGGTGTAGCGTAGGAGCAATGGGACGCCAGAGGACGTTGCGACTAATATGCTGAATTATCGTGGATTTGGTCCAGGCGGTGCGTGGAGATACATGGGACGTCCGTTTGAGCAGGCACAAGACACGATGCAACGCCGGGAGATTGCGAGGAAAGGTATATCGCGGGCAATTTAAGGAATGGGCGATAGACACGCCGGGAATACAAGGAGCAAGCGAAGATGGTTAGATGATAGTCATTTAGGGCTTAGGCATTAGTGTGGTGTCGGTGGGTCGCAGATTGGCATAGAGCACGACTAAGTGGCAGTAGTAGACTCGATGATGGGTCTACTGGATCCAGGAGTCGCCGACGAGGCCAGAGGCGGCCGTTGAGGCAAGAGAGTGGGCGTCGAGCACAAAGGACGGCGGGAACTTGTCAAGTAACCGGCGCAAATCTCTCCCTCCTCGACCAAACTGCTCGATACAGATGCCAGATGAATACCCACAGGAAACGCGGTAAATGCAAGGAAATGTGGGACCGGGATGGCTAAAGCGAAGACTCTGAGCTAGGCTGGGGCTGGCACACATGGATTCCCCTCATGGCCACCCCTGCTGCTGCCAGGAGAAGGCGCAAGCCCGCGCCCGTAGTCGACGCGGATACACTCCTACTGGCGGAGGACGCGGCACGGGCCGGCGGCGCGCGCCACTCGTTCGCGCTGTACGCCGCCCCGCCGCGGTCGCCCGCCCCGGTAGCCGCCCCGCATTCCCCCGGCCCCTTCCCGATCCCCTCCTCCGTTGCATCCTCGCCGTCGCAGCCGCACTACACCCGCCGCCGCGCGCAGTCCGCCATCCCGCCCTCGCCGTCGGTCCCTGCGCCGACGACGCCGACGCGCACGCGCCTCGCACGCCTGCTCCTCCCGCACCCGTCGCCCACGCGCGTGCGCAAGCACACCATCTCGAGCCCCGCGCCCGCCGCCTTCCCGCCCGGCCTCCTCCCCCCGGGCCTCGCCGCGCTCGCGCTCCCTCCCACCCGCCCGATGAAGCTGCGCGACCTCGACCTCGACCTGAGCGTCGCAATCCCCCCCGCGCCCGCCACCGCGCGCTCCAGCTCGTCCTCGAACGCCGACTCGGCCGACACCGCCGCGACGTCCCCGCCCGTGTCGCCCACCTCCCCGCGCAAGCTCGTCAAGCAGCATGGGGCCGCGCACAAGCCCTCTATGGCGGCGCTCAAGACGAAGCTCCTGCCGCTCCCCGCGTTGATGGCCCCGAGCGCCGCCGCCCGCGCACGCGCGGCGCGCCTCCCGCTCGTCGCCCCCAGCGGCGTGCGCGTACCCTTCGGCGCGCTCCTCGGCATACCCGACGACTCCCTCGGTATGGGCGTGGGCGAGAGAAGGCGCCGCACGCTCGTCGTCTTCCTCCGCCACGTCTGGTAATCCTCTTCTGCTTTTTCCTTTCCTCGCTCTTTTGCGTTCTGCGTTCGCTTCCGCTTTCTGCGTCGGTGTAGGGCGGGGAGCTGATGCCATTATTTTTCCGTTTATTTCTGCGTTGTGTTTTTCTCTCTTTTTTTGTCTTCCTCCGTCTACTTCTGCGCCAGAACACCGGAGCTGATTTTCTTTCTCTTTCATCCGCTTCGTTTATAGGACTCGGTATCGAACCACCCTGCGCACGAAAGCGACGGCTCGGACGGGGAGCGCAAGCGCGTGAGGAGGGTGTGGAGCACGGGAAGCGGGGCTCGAACATTCATCGCGCGCATCAGACTTTTGACAAATAACTTGTGACCTTGTACAAGGCCAAACAAGGTCACAAGCTTCACCAAAAACGTCGCAAGCTCGCAAGGCCACAAACTATGTCCCAATTTCCCCAAGGTCAAAAATTTCTTCTAATTCTTTTTTTTCAAGGATCGTCATGGCATCAATTGCCGATTTCACGAAGGGTAATTTTTCACTTCTGACGCTTTTTGACCTTGTGAGCTTGTCAGCAAGCTCACAAGCCCAAAAAGGTCACAAGTTTTTTGTCAAAAGTCTGATGCGGCCTCTCCTGGCTTTCTGGTGCTCAGTTTCAAGTTATTCTTCAGCGTACTGTGCTTTTTTGCCCTATGTCTACCCCTATGAATTTAATACACATGTTCCCCGGTCATTTCTTCAAGTCTGCACACAGTTGAATATTTTCATGGCACGTCCTCATGCCTTCGCGGTCAGGCTATCATAAACCAGTATTTGATGAGTGATAACGCCGTTCAATCGCCCAGGATAAGACTCAGGATAATAATATTGTTCAGCTAGGTCCCCTTTCGGAACGTGCCGAGTTGTAGCGACAGTATGAGTCTGATTCTAGTACAAGCGTGCCCGAGTCATATAAATTCAATTTGCGACGGTCGCGCCGCCATATGTATCACCTGATATCGATCCCGCGGATAAATTCATCCCGGTTCGCGACGCCCAGTTCACGAAGATCTGTCTTCACGATGATCATACGAAGGTTCTCATTTAGCATGCCACTGCTGGATACGAAGGGGCCTTCTTCTGGGAGGATTTCACGATTACCTTTCCTTTACAACGGAACAAGGCCTGTCGACGAACAACACTTCAAGTGTGGTCACACCTTCTTATTCTCCAGGCAGTAAATTTCCGAGAAAAATGTTTGCACAGCTGAAAAACATCACTAAATGCAATGCCTCTCGTTTGTCACGAGAGGATATTGGAGTTGCGCGCTGAAAGTACGATCAGATCTTTCCCAACGGTTCAACCGAGCCAGGACAAATAATGTGGCGACTATCACGGCGCCCACAGATGAGTATCTGTGGCGGAAGGGAATAAATGACGCTTTGGGGCTACTAGGGCACCCTCTGTAGCTCGAAGTGATGCATCCCAAATCCATTGCAAGGATAATCACATAATTACAGCCAATTGTCCGCAATTACTGCCAATTGTCAATGTCGGTTTTTCCTGATGTATGTTAATCCATAGGCCGGAGACCTCTACAGTGTTCCCTCCTATTTATCCATGACAACATGCCGGCGTTGAGGATCCGTAGGCCTTCTTACATCCCCCCTTGCATCTGTCTCACTATATCACGCCAGAGGACGCTGTATCTCTTTACGGATTCACATACAACTACGCTCTCAACTCCTATTCGCAGTCACAACGTCCCGAGACCCAAACTCCCGAGGGTCAACACATCAATTATATTCTTTTTAGGAATGCGGCTAATCCATCTCGGACGTTGGAGCCCTCTTCTGTAGGAGCGTCTGTCAGGTTGGTCCCGACAGACACACGCGTCATTCTGATGGAGTGCGTTCCGGGCCATTATTTCTCTTATTCAGATCACTTCGGGTTGAAATGATATTTAAAATCGAGCATCAAGCAATACCAGCTGCCGGCTTTGAAGAACCACACCTCACGTTGAATCCCACCTCAAAAGTGATCGAGGCCCTCAAAACACGCCTTAAACTCGCTCACGGACATACGCAGGTGCTAGGTGTGTTCTTTCCTGAAAAACAGTCATTGTTACACTCATATCAATATGCTCTAGGTATAACACTATTTTCCGAATATTCTGTTGTTCACAGGGTTCATTTTACCCCTTCCAATGCACATTCACTCCCCACCACCTCTCCCATACTACCTTCCCATCCCCGTACTCAAGACCCTCCAAAGAGGGGTCTTTTCACTACTCTGGCCAAAACTCACCCAGATCCTGCCACGGAGCTGTCCCAAAATGACTGCCTGCCCGTCGGTTTGACGGTTTCGCGTCCGGGTAAAACTTACGTCAGTTTCTGACAACAAAATCTCCCTCCTCCCAAATTTCCAGCTCAAGCGCCCGATTATTGAGCTCACAGGAGATGCATTTCGGGAATATGGACCGTATGGTAAATCCTCTCACTCTTAGGACAAACACGCATCTTTCCTGGAGGTATTCGAGGGGATATTCGCATTTCTTGTCTTGACACGTTCAACACGCGTCGCAACCGCGTTCAACACGCGTTTGATCGCTCCTGGTCCCAACATGTTGGATCTCATCACTCTTCCCGTAAAACCATCACATTGGGACCATTGGGTGTGAGAGGTCCTGGCGAAGCCCATCTTTGAGGCAGGAAGCAGACCTATACAACTGGCGTGGTCCCAGCT